CGAATCTAAAAGCAGAGCTATATCAACTTAACTTTTGAAAATATTCTAGAAATACTGCGTTCTTTAAACATATGTAAAATTAAAGCTTACATTATGTAATATAAGTTTAAACAAAAATTTGTCTCGACGTCCCATCTTCTATGTGCAATGGCTAAGCATTTAAAAAACATTATATTTGTGTGTTAAAATATTTTTTTGTTTATTACAAAATTCTTTACAAGGGTTAGCCATAGTAATGATTCCGTTAATTTTTATAAAAGTTACATGAATCTAACGTACATTAAATATAAATTTAAATTTAAACTTAATTTGATTATATTTCCACCTCAAAGTTAAATAATGCGACGTTGAATTTTTGATTTAGTCTAAATAGTTCCATTTATCAAAGGGTAAATATAGTGTATGGTGGCTGCGTCGCATACTTTATAGTCTAATACTATTGGGGTGCATAGTACTAACCCCCCCACAAGTCAAAAAAACTTTTTTCAACTTTTTTCAACTTTTTTGAACATTTTTTTCTTAATTCTTTTTTGAGGTACAAAAAAATTCAAAATGAATAGTAATAAATAAAATTTAATAAAAATATTCAGTAAATGTTGAGGATCCTATCACTTTAGTCTCTTTTTGTGAGAAGAAATTTCTTATTCATATTAAAATATTTCTCTATATGTTCTTTATGTCTGTCATTCATTTTTTCCAGCTATTACTTGACCAATTTAAATGATGAATACGTCAAAAGAACACAATTTTAATCATGTTGAACTTATAATCAGCAAATATTGGAAAAATTCCTTTAATTTTAGAAATTCAGATAAATATCTCAAAATTACGCTATTATAAAAAATTGCCATTTTAAAAAACTTTTTTTAATTAAACATCTCCAAAGTATTAAGAGTATAAAATTCGTTTTTATACTAAATTACACAGTAAAATCATATGAGTAATATAAAATATCTCTTCATGATTATAGACCAATGTATACTTTACTAAACCAAAATTTTATGCTGACATTAAGTAGGAAATTAAATATTTTCTATCATTTCTTTTCGAAATTATTACTAATTAGAAACACATGAAACAATTAATTAAAAAAAAAATGTTTATCAAGTTATTATTGATTTTTAATATTTTAAAAATAACCCGTGTAAAATTTTAACTCAAAATTTTCTTTTGAACTTAATTTTTTGACCCTGTAAAGTTGATTTTTATGAAATATTATAATTTAAAAATGTTGAACATATAAAAATAATTTTAGCTCAATTTGTAAGTTTAGAATTTATATCATTAGATAGAAAAATTCATGTTGAATAAAATGTCTAATTTTTTAGATTAATATGAGGAAAACTCAAGATTTCAATAAAAACGATTTATTGTATATTTATTGTAATAAATCATTTAAACAGAAGTCTTAATAAGCAATTCTATGCAACTCTTGGTGTTTAAATAATTATTCATATTGATATACTGCACATAATACATTCTGATTGTTATTGAATTGTATTTTTTTAATTAAAATGAAATTATTGATTATTCATACGTAAACTACTAATCAAACATAATTATTTTTATTGAAAATGAAAAGGATTTTGTTATTATTTAAGTCATATGCGACACTCAAATGCAGATTCGAAATAAATTTATTTATAAATAACAATTTTTTTTTAAAAAATTATTGCATCAAGCCCTTCAACTTTTATACATTTTTTGTCATAAAATTATTATCTACTTTATAATTTCTCTGTAAAAATTACAATACTAAATTATTAAATATCAATTTCATACTACGTTGAATTGCTTTAAAATATATTTATTCGTATATTATATTAATAATCATCGAACTACTAATTAGGAATAATGATATAAATAAAAGTTAACTTTGATTTTAGAATAATCCACCAATTTCTTAAAATTAATGATTATCTACAGATTTGCATCGAAGAGTTTTTTATGATAGTAATTTTAATCACTGTGAGATATCATAGATACTCGTTTTAACAATGCCACGTTCACACTGTGTTTTCGTTTTTTTTTTATTAACTAATTTTGTTCCATTTTTTTATTTTATTTTTTATTTTGAGATTTTACAGTCTTGAAGTATTGAATGAATTATTTAAAATTAAAATTATTCATTTAATACTAAAAAAATTACGAAATTTAGCGATTATAAAAATTGTAATTTTTTTTTGGAAATTTCCTTCATTTGTGGGAACGAAGGAAACTTTTTAAATTTTTAAGGGTAATGTCGTCGACTAGATACGATTTGTAATCTTTTGACATATTGTTCATCAATATCGGTCCAGAGAGAGCTGAGCAAAAGTGGCAACAGACATATAAAAAAAAAAAATCCAGCACAGTGGGGACGTGGCATAGTTAGGTCCAGTATAGATTTAATCTGACAGTGATTGAAATCACTATCATAAAAAATGCTTCGATGTAAATCTGTAGATAGTGTTTAATTCTAAATTGGTGGATAATTACAAAAGCAAAATGAAATCCTATTTTCTTATTTATAACATGATTAGTAATTCTTAGATTCAAAAATATAATATATAAATACTAGGCTCCGCCCCAGACCCGGAGCCCTTCGAGCCTTTGGCGCGTAAGCCTCTTTGGGCAGTCATCATAAGTAGGCCACTGATTCCGGTAGGGGTACCCAGCTACGTCGGTCACGATAAGTGTTTTTCAGAAAAAATATTACATCAGAATCAGTGTAACGAAACTATATATAAAAATGTTATTATTAAAATCACGAAAATTCAAAAAGAGAATATAGTAAAATGTATTGTGTATAAGGTTGACGTTTGTTAATGAGCTATTCCCTTTAGGCCTATTCAAAAATTATTTTAGGAGGGTATTTAATATTTTTTACTTTGTTAAACATGTTATAGACATTTTTTTGCTAAAAATTAAAGTACTGATGATGAAAAAAAAAGGACATTAGGTCCTTATTTATTAGAAGTTGCCTAAAAAAAATATTAATAGCGCTGGTTCAAGGGGGACCCATATCTCTCTTAAATACACCCCCGTTATACACACAAATTATTAATAATCTAATTATAATTGTGTTTATATTATAGAATAATTTAAAAAAAATTCAGCAGGTATTATACTTGGCACATTTAAAAAAATTTAATTTTGATAAAAATATTGGTAACTGCGATTTAACGTTGGATAGCTTAGTTGTCATAGACGAATCCAAATTTAACGATAAACTCATAGTGTCATACATCATATATGAGAAAAAAGATTATTAATAGTGTACTGTTCTGATAATGAAAGTACAATACTTATATAATTATAACGTCTTGAAATTTATATATAACATATAATATTCCTTGATAAAATATAGTGCAAATGCAAAATAGTGTCTTAATAATAATACATATTACATCATATAATTAAGGTTTATAATCAACGTATGAGCAGAAATGAATCACTGCGCATATAAAAACGATGCGCGTGGACTTAAAAAAAAAAAAAAAGCTCGTAAAACGGTGAAAAATGAACGGATTAAATTGATTTTTTTATCATATCTCAGGAATGCCATTGGACGGGTCTGATGAAAATTTCAAACCTGAGGTCTTAAAACGCTGGCGTCAACGAGCGTTTTTCTCGAAAACGGTTGATATTTTAAAACGCTCGCGGGCGAGTGACAAAAATTTTCCGACCTTCGCCAATAATTTTCCCGGAGTATGGTGATCGAGTACTTTCATTGAAAAATAAATTTTGAAAATCCGATTACGCTAAGTAATTTTTCCAGAAAAGCGTTTTTTTCCTTGTTCTATTATATAACAAGATAATATATAATAATCAATTTTTTAATTATATATTATATCATTTTTATAATTGTTTCAAATTATTATTGATCTTGATTTTGAATATGTTAAAAGTAATTACTACTTTTTTTTGTCCTTTAAAATGAAAGTTAATAATAAAACAAAAAAATAAATTTATTACCATAACTTTTAGCTCAACTTGCAAGTTTTAAATTGACATAATTGAATAGAAAAAGAAATGGTATTGTTAATATAAACGCGATCAAGAAATTTTATAATAATATTTACGGTAAATTTTTTATTTCATCCATTGTTAAATTCAGGTGTAACTAAAGATCATTTTTTTTTAAATTTATGATGTATATAGCAACATGTTACCCAAAAATTTGGAATATTATAGACCTGTTAGTAACATACACAAATAGAGTTAAAAAGTTAATAAATTACAAAGTAAAATTATTTACTTTTTCAGTTGAATACTTTTATCATATCAAATCTAATTCAATAAACAGTGGCGTATTTTGAATGATTTTTCGGGTGGTATCCAACTTTTAATGAACCTCACAAACGAAAATTATAGAAATGTTTACTGACGTAAAAAAAACTTACTATTTTTCTAATTACTATTTTATGAATTGACAAATAATTTAAACATTATTTTTGGTTTTTTTTAGTTACACATTATTCTTAAATTTAACTATTTAAAACTTTTTATGTTCATCCTTTATGCCTTGTAAGGGTGTCAACTTTGTCTTTTAAATGGGAACACATATTTTGAATATAATAAAATGTTTGGATTTTTAATTAAATAGTAAATGGGATTTGAATTTTAAAGTATAACTTTATTAGTTTATTAGATATAAACATTTAAAGTTTCAAATTTTTGAGTTAATATACATGTATATCATCACATGATGATATGATTACAAATACAGGTAGCTAATTGGATTTTTATGACATTGCTGTCTCAGTCACGGATTGTTTATTATCAATTATGACTATCATAGATATACTTTCTGTATTGTCAGTTAGTGTATTTATAAACTCACAACAATGTGCCTTACTACCATTGATAATAACAATGCTGTGTACCTGCTAATTTCTTTGAAGTTGTTTTAAACAAAGTAACTCATAACTAAATACTTTATTTATAATAAGTAAACAAATAATAAAATCTCCTTTCAGTATTGATGTTCATAAATTACTTGCTTTTGATGATGTTTCAGTGTCATACCACTTCGAAATTATAAATAACAATTCAATTAGGTATACAAAAAGCTCAAGAAAATCATTGACAGCATAAAAACGTTCAACTCATTTAGTCGCACATAATTGTTTTAATGATTTTTTAGTTATACATTTTTGACTTTCTTCGATTTGACTTTTCAATACATCTTTTCGCTTTGGGTATATGAAAAAATCTCTAACTTCAGATGTTGTTCCTAATCAATTTCGTGTTTCTTGTATAGAAGATGAATAAGAAATAGCAAGTTTCAAACATGAACAGCACAATGAACAAACGTCGCAAGCGGATAACTTTGGTGAATAAGAGATTGAGCTCCGTAACATTGACCAGACATAGAAGCACATCCATCGTAACTCTGTCCTCTAAGGTATTTTGTTTNCATAGAAGCACATCCATCGTAACACTGTCCTCTAAGGTATTTTGTTTCTACACCAAATGAATGTAAACTTTGAATAATAATATATAAACCTTTTCCAGTAGTATCTGTTGTAGGCACAAACTGAAGAATTCTTCCTTGATAATCATATTTTCAACATCTAAATATCGAACACACAAAGTTACTTGTTCGCTTCCACCAATGTCGGCCGTTTCATCAGCAAGTATTTTGAAACATCTTTGGGCATTTATGTTTGTTACGATTTTATTTAAAATAATTTGATTACAGGATTCAATTATTTCATTTTGAAGTGTTTCACTTGTATATTTCATTGTTTCTTCAGCTTTCAAAAATGATTTTAAACGATCATCTCCTTGGANTTTCTTCAGCTTCCAAAAATGATTTTAAACGGTCATCTCCTTGGGCTCTGTATCTTAATATTTCTCTAAAATTTCCTTGATTTTCTTGGATAATTTGTCATTTTCTTGATATATATTGAAGTTACAAAGATAGCCGTTATTGTCAAAATAATAATAATAATAATAATATTAAAAATGCAAATAATAATTAAACCTATAAGGTAGTTATAGGTTTAAAGGTAGTTGGGCCACCCTAAAGTAATACCTAACGGTAGTTCCAGGGCGGCCTACAACTAAGCCGGTCGGGGAAAAAAAAATAGGTATTTAAACCCTAAAGTTATTTTCGATTTGTTAAAGTCGTTAAAATTAATTCAAATCTCCAGTTATTTTCTTTTATCAGAATTATTATGTAATTTATTCAATTATTAATTAAATTGTTAAACTATATTATATATTCAACTTAATAAATTTTTATGTTGATTATAATCGCATGGCATGATGTTTTTTGTTAATAACTAAATGGAAATAGCAATTTCACATGGGCAAATTTTTAATAGTTGCAAGATAATGAATCCAAATGTTGATATTTTATTTCATACAGATTAAATTTTATATGCATAAATATTCTGTTAACCGATATCAAATTTATTCCACTTGAACTTTCATAAAAAAATCTCTATCATTTGTAAACTAATGTAATAAATAAACAAACAAATACAAAAGCTTTTTCTTCAAAATATATATATATATTTTTTTTTTGATAATTCTCTGTATTATTCTTAAAATATTGTATTATTTGACCAATAATACAATTAAAATAAATAAGTATTGTTTATAAAAAATTGATTTATAATTGGCTTATAAATTTTTTTANATTTATAATTGGCTTATACATTTTTTTAATGAATTTTTACAATTAAGTTTCCTTGACAATTAGATGTAAATGTTGATTTTATCGACATTTCAGTTCACTTCGTTTTTTCCCGTGAAAAATAAACTATCGTCTCGTGTAATTATTAAGATTTATTTAAATAGTTATTAATATGGCAAGTGAAAAAAATATTTTTGGTCAAACAAATGAATCAAACTTACATAAGGTCATACGCAGAGTTGAAGAAATATGGAATCGTCGTTTCATGCATTCCAATTGTGTTTTAAATAATACAAATAAAGGACAAATATCAAAAAAGTCAACTAAAGATGGAAGAATTATCTGTAAACACTATTAAGATTAATAATTAAACTAACTATTTCGAATAGAGAAAAAGTTTTTTAATACAAAATATAAGAAAAATTAATAATAAGTTCTCTTATTCATATATATCAATAATTCAGTCGCTTTACTTTAATTTAACTATTTTAATATTAAAAACCTTTTTCGAAATTGATTATTTAGTTAATAATTATTAAAATTATATTCAATTTGCAGCAATTATAAATAAAAATATTTATCCTATAAAAAATTCCATTATTCCAAAAAAACGCACGTATCGAAAAACGAATAAAAATGATAAAATTATTCCAGAAAAATTGGTAACTATAATTATATTAATATATTTATTCGATTTAGCTATGTTATTGGGGTTTGCCTGATTCGAAATTATAAAATAAACTATCAACCCCCTTAATATAAATGCGGTAACATAATGTTTAATATTATTCTGCTATTTTTTCTATTAGATTTTTATGGGAAATTCAATTTTTATCGAAGATAATAATATAATATTAAGTATAGTTTATTTGTTTATTTAAATATCTCTTTGGTTACCTAGAATATGATGCAGCAAAGAGAATTCGGAACACTTTTTCAGAATGAAAAATCTGAAAAATATAAAAATGAAATTTTAAATTCAACAGAAAAAAAAAATATAGCTATTTCAAAAGACAATCCGCTATCAATATCAGCTGATTTGTTAGAAAAGGTATATTTTATTATGCTTTATTTCAATAAAAAGATTTTAGGGTATACCCTAAACCATTTTTTGGACTTAAAGCAGATTTCTTAAATAAATTTATCATATAATTAAATATATTTTTATGATGCGTTAAGAGTTTTCATAAGAAAAATTTGGAACGCAAAAAATCCGAAATAAAAAAACAAATTTTTGAGATATCTTCTAATACTACTACTCGACCAAATTTAAAAAGAAATANCTTTTTGAGATATCTTCTAATACTACTGCTCGACCAAATTTAAAAAGAAATTCATCCGAAGAAGATGAAAAAGTCATAAAAAGTATACAACTTTTAAAATATAATTCATTTTTAAAAAATATGAAGTTTTGATTTTTGAAACAAATATGTAATATTTTTAAACATAAATTATTTTAGAGCCAAAAGTTAGTTCTAATCCTTTGACCTTAAATACGCCGAATGACGTAAATTTACTTGCTCTGTCCACTATTGAAGTAATAAAAGTACCAGAGAAAGAAAAAGGTAATTGGTTATTTAATCTATTTATTTTATGTAAAATTAAGTAAAAAAAGATTATTTATTAAACATAATTAATTATAATAATACGAGTTAAATTAATATAACCTCTGCTGAGGCGTGTCATTAAGGGGGTCCATGGACGTTTTAAACAAAAGTAATTATACGTGTTTAATTTCATATTCCAAAACCTTAAATAAACCTAAATAATAGTAAACTGTTCAACAAAGTCTTTTATTAATTTTATGAAAAATGTTTAAATATGGTTACACTTGCAGAAGTAGTGCAAGATCAGAAAACAAAATCTCTTGATCAGTATAATGCACCTTCATTTAAATCGCCCACATCATGGTATACTTCAGATACTATTAATGAGTACATTAAAATGATAGTAACACGGTCAGAAGGCGAAGTTTATGCAGTTGTCACTGATTTTATTGTAGCGTATCTTCGAGGAGGTTATCCAGCTGTAAGAAGATGGATAAAAAAAGATATTCACACAATAAAATTACTTTTTGTGCCCATGAATGTATATGGGAGTCATTGGATATTGACAGTGGTTAATATACCTGAAAAGACTGTGACATCATATGATAGTCTTAAGTCGTATAAGGGTCCTTATCCAATGGTATTAAAAAATTTCTTAATTGAATGGGAGATGGACAAAAAAGGAAAAGCTTCTACATGGACATTACAAATAGGCGAGACATCTCGCCAAACCAATGGACATGATTGTGGGCCCTTTACTGTTGAGCTGGCAGAAAAAATGTCTCGAGGAGATACAACACCAATAAATGCAAATGTTATGCCTTTTATAAGATTAAGACACAAAAATGAAATTATTGCTGGCGAACTATTCAATTAATATTTTTATGAATGAAACTTTAGTTTTGTATTTTATATCAATTTTCTTAATATTCACTATAAATTGAAATTTTTATTTGTATACCACCAAACATTTTTTTCTTTTTCTATGTTTAATTGTTGTTTTGTTATTTTATTTTAATCTTATTTTTCTTTGTAACATTTCATTTAAGAAATTCAAATTTAATATAAATTTATCTTAACTGAAATAATTTAATGTTCTTGTTATGTGAATATACAAATATTATAATATACAGTTATGGATACAATTAAGTTAAAAAGTCAGCCAATTATAAATTTTTAAATTAACAAGCGTATCTACTATCTTAACAACTTAATTTTAATTTTACTAAATGACGATTCATAAAGAATTTCATAACTTTTGTTTATTTTTTAAATACTATTTTAATTATAAAAAATACTTTTCTGTATTTTTTATGAATGCGGTATATTGAATAGGGGTAACTATACTTATTTGTTTATAATTCTTTAAACTATAAAATAAATTTAAAAATGAACTACAAGTTCAGAATATTTCCGTTGTTATTATATTTTTGCTACGGGTATTTTTGTTATCTAAATGACCCAATGAAATCCAAATAATTTCTAGAAATCTCTGATAAAATGTAGATAAATACGTGTCGTCGAATCCTATCAAATTATCTTCAATTTTGTTATTTATTTAAAATACCATTTATTTTATAGTAAATAAATATAGTATATTATAAAAAAAGTTAATACCAATATATTAGGCATTTTTTTTAAATCGGGGGGTGTCCAGACATGGAGGACACCCTCCCAAAATACGCCACTGTCAATAAATACATTAAAAATATCNAATACGCCACTGTCAATAAATACATTAAAAATATCAGAAATGAATCATTTTAATTGTTTGTATGGATAAAGCTGTTTAAGGTACTTTATATTTGATTAAGGCATTTTTTTTCAATTTTTGAGGGTAATATCTTCAACTAAAGACGAATTGTAATCATTTGACGTATCGTTGATAAAAGTAGGTCAAGTGAGGTTTGGCAAAACAAATCGTAGCCACAAAAAATAAACCACATAGTAAAATAATATTAACATGAATAAGAAATTTCTTCTCATGAGGGGAGACTACAGTGATGAGATTCTTAATATTTATTGAAGTTATTGGATCTAAATGAGATAAAAATCAAATGATTTGAAAATTTTTTTCTAACTCAAAAAAAATGCAAAATATTAATCTCCACAGACGGATTTGAACCTCATACATTAAACGTGAGAAACACAAGTGTTTCCGATTCGGCAATTGTTCGTTGCATTTGTCGCATGATAAAATTGTTAATTTAAGCTAAGTCAAATAAGTTTAATTTCTTATGTCTTATAAACTTTATTCTATGTCAATTAAATTATATAATATTCATGAAAGTCAGAGTATTGACCTTATAAGATATTTTAAAATAAAATAGAACACGAAACCCAGGAAATTAACACAAAAATAGCATATTTTTGAATACGGTAGCCGTTTGCATGCAGAAGATAAAGTGTCGGGACAAATTTTTTTTTTCATTTTATAGTGAAGGACATAAGCTTTTATTTGGTATATATTTGAAGGACGCAGTATTTCCGGAATATTTTCAAAAGTTAAGTTGAAAAAGTTAGTTTTTGTAAAAAATTTGCTATTT